TCTTCAAAAAAAAGAAGAAAGATAAGATAGTTGATTGCAGGTAAGCAGATATTTAAATAAACTGTGTTTGTATACATTTTGATAATTTTTCTAAATCTTCTCTTGTCCTTTGTTTGTAATACATGTTCTGCAAGTTCTGCTCACAGTGCTCAGGGGTACCTTATTAACTGCTGTGGGCTAAATGAACTTCTAGGATTTGGAATAGGAAAATATGACTTCTTGCTTAGTTGTCTCTAGCAACTTCCAATTATCTGAACAGAAGAGATGGATTTTAAGATATGTTTTCCATATTTCTTCTTAGAAAAAAATTATACTGACAAAGGATTGGTTCATCTGCCTGCTATTAAGCATCAAATCACCAAACCAATTGATTTTTGTGGGACTATTTTTTAAATCTTTCCTGTTTCTACAGGAAAGTTTCTCCTGTTCTTTGATTCTGGTGCTAGTCTTATCTTTCTTTCCCTGTGATTAGTTAATGACTACTTCCATTTCTATAGCAATCATGTTACTATTGTCTTTATGTCTTTGTGTCCAGGGCCACTGCTGTCTGTCAACATACTTCATGTTTTCTTTTTTAATTAGTAGCTGGGAACACCTAGTAGAAAAGCATAAAATGATGCATTGCTATGTTCTGGAGCAGTGACTATGGTATAGCTTTGAGGAACACTTCTGTAAAGCTATTAAAAACATTTTAAAAGGCTTAAATATTTAAAACATTACATTTAAAAGGGTGAAATGATTTATGACCTGGACATTTTTCTTCTGTAATTGCAGCAACTACAGAAAGAGATTGAAGAAAAGATAAATGTGTGGTTATGATACTTTAGCCAGATGGCATGGGCTCTATTTTCTGTTCTATGACAGATCTTTTTAATTGTACGGACAAGTAATTTAATTTTCTTGTTCTTCTATTTCTTTCCAAAAAAGATGGGAAGATGTCAGGTCCCTTTCAGCTGACACTAATAGCTTTGAACCTTCAATAACCATTCTTGATTTCCCGGCAAGTATAACTTAAGTCTAGATAAATAAGAACAGTGTGAAGGAAGGAGAACAAATGAAAGGAAGCATTACCCCTTCTAGATAAAGAAGCAGGTAAAAGTCTCTATTAAATAAAAACCAAAGCACTAACAAGAAAGGAGAAGAAGAAATATATGGAAAATGCAACCAAAGAAGCTGTGGTCACTTGTGAAGGAGAGAAAAGTGAAACGGTCTTTCAGATCAGCAGATGACTTGCAAATTCACACCAAACAAGAGTCCTTGGAAACAGTTAAAAAAAGCAACGGAGAGAGGTTATAGGCAAAACACCCTTAAAGAGTGCCAACTGAAAATGAAACACTGTACTAGACACTGTCACATTTCCCAGACAATAGAAGTGAAAGATGCCAAAAAAAAAAAAAAAAAAAAAAAAAAAAGATGGGCCTGTCTGTCTTAAAGGACACCCTCAAAAACCGTTACTTGAAACTGTCCCATTCCCAAAAAAAAAAAGAAAAAAAAGCCAAAAAAAAAAAAAAAAAAAAAGAATTTAAACTAGAAAGGTGCAGGTGAGGATTAACTTATGGGGAAACACTTAAAGGTCCTGATGGTCGCGATGAGGAAATATCATTAAGTCTCTGTTCTCTGAAATAAAAGGAAGTTGTAAACACAATGACAAAGAAAGGTGACCAAAGTGACTGTGGCATCTGAGTGTGTGCTTTACTCTGTTCAGAGGCGGGCAAGCCTACTACGATATTATTCAAAGCAGAATAAAGGAAACAACTGCTGACAAATACGGGAAGCACAGACTGAATTTCATAAAGGAAGATCAATTCTTCAACCACAATTCCTCAAGCTACTGCCTGTGGGTTAATTTTGATCCTGGAAACAGTAAACCACAGAATAATTTTAATTGCTGTATCTCAACCAGAAGAACACACACGCATTCTCCACTTGAGCAGGCAAGCCAAATGAATCAGGGGAAAATAAACATAAAAGCAGTTTAGCCAACTTTTCACTGAATTAAGTGAAAAGCTCTGTAACAGCCCTACTAGTGACTGTCTTTAGATTTTCTTTTCATCTAAAAGGCTGGGTATTCTTTGTATTAACAAAAGACTGACAAACCCTGAAACAGAGTGTTAAATGGAAAAAAGAAAACAGAAGATGTTCCTTATTCAGTTTACAGGTGTAAAGACAGCGTTTAGGCAACCACCATCCCAATACCTTTGGGAATATCTTAGGTGTTATGGTATGCCATTGTAACAAGGAACTTCATCAGGGGTTTATGTAAGGAAGTAGAAGTTGTGTCCAATTTAGATTTTGGCACGAATAGAAATCAATATCAGTTACTTACCACTTCTGGTTTGAATTGTTGAAGACTTCACTGAGAGAAAAAGCGTAGATGGGTACAGAATGGGCATTGCTGGAAAATCTTGATTGTGCAACACAGCATAATAAACTGACACAAGGTTTTCAGCACCACAAAAAAGATAGAAGAACCAATACGAGAGCTTTTAAACTCATTCTTTCAGAAAGAAAGAAGGTTCAGGAAGAGTTTCAGTTTTCATACCTTCCAGGAAGTATGTTACCAGTTGACAACGAAGCAACTGCATTCACCATCTTCAACAAGACTTGGTTGCTGAAATATGCAACCTAAAGGCCTTCCAACTTAACTGCTGTTCCACCTTTGCTTAGGAGAAAATACAGAAAAAAATCAAAAAGTATGTCTCCACAAAACAAAAGAACCTGGAAGGTAGATCTTCCTTGTGGAGACCAGGCCAAGTCCGTGGAGCAGTTTGCAGTACAGTGTCTTAGTTCAGAAATCGTTTCAACCAAACATGACTGTACTGTTTCCAGATCCAGGCTGGCTCTATTCAGTCATCTCAACTCATTCAACTCCTCAGTATTTCCAGTTCAAAGGTTAACGACACTACCAGCATGAGTTGAGGTCTATCTGCATCCACTGGTGTGGTCATGTCCTTTAGTGAGGCAGACCAAAGCCCACTTTGGTCCCTGTGCCTTGTGTTTCCTATTGGCTCACTCTAAGCCTTCAAAGGTGTGCAGCCAGTAGAAAACATCAACTACAAAGACGTAGTGTAAATCTAGGCCTAAATGACTTTGAAAGTAAATTCCTTAGAAAATACCAGGTACTAAGTGGTATTTAATTACAGCACATTTCAAAAGAACTCAGCAGTGTCTTACCTAGAAGAGAAGATGGAAATTTCTGAAACGTGTTAAGAAGGAAGCCTGAGGGACAATTCTATTGTCCAAACATTGGGATCCAGTCATCGTACAGGCCCAGGCAATCCCTCCTGGACTCCGGCCATTGCTCCTGAGAGGCCAGGGTATGCTGCACCCATGCCGCCTGTGGGTGGATTGCTTGCATGCCTCAGGATATTACAGGTGGGATTAGACACCTACATTTGGCAACGAAATTGATCCCTGTGCATGGGCCAAAATGGCAGGGCTGCTGAAGGAACATGAAGAAGTAGCTGACTGAAAGATTATTCTCCTCAACAGGGCTCAAAGGAGAAATACTTCACATCGCAGGTCTTCAAGGAGCTCTCCATCCTGGACAGACAGGCTGATGAAGCCTTTTCATGCCCTCAAGTAGCATGTGGTCACTGAGAAGTAGTCTGGTTCAGAAACGAGGATGTTTCTCATTTCCAAAATGTTGCGAATGTTCATCTCTTGATTTTTTGAAAGAGTTTCAGGATCCTTACGTGGGAGGAGAGACAGAAGTACAAACTGATACATCTCTTGTGAATCATGAAACTAAGTATTCACTTTCAGATGACATGTATTTGTTTTTGAATAGACTGGATTTTTGCAAGCACCTTGCTTCTTGTTTCAGTTGTGCAGCTGTCTTCTGAAACAGTATGCAATTTTGGTGGTTGAAAGCTCTTTCAGCTACATTTTTAGAGGTTTCTCTCCTGAATAGCAGTGTGTTTTGTTTTGTTTTATCTTGCAGCATTCTGTTCTTTTCTGCAGAGAGCACTCCTCTCTTTCCTTGACAAGGCGAACCAGAACTGGTAGTTTTCGTTCCCTATAGTTGCAAGTCTCACATTCCAAATTGCTGTGTACATATGTATGAGAGAGCAGAAAATCCCCAATAAAACCAACTTTCAAAATGGAATATTTTTGTACATAATGCTTAAAATAACTTACCAAAATCTGTGAGTCAAGCTATGCTCACAACTTCAGGAGACTGAGAAGCAGAACAGTTCAATGACTTTTGTTCTGAGTAAATTAATCGAAAATATCTGCTATAAGTTTGGCAATCATACACTGTTGGTGACAGAGCAAAAAAAAAAAAAAAGGATGTATTCAGTATCTCAGAAAGGCCATGACCCATCAGTGTGAAACTGCCATGAAAAGGCATGGTAGTTTTGAATGGTCAAGAAAAATGAGTTAAAAC